AAGCCGCTTTGCGTAAAAAGAAAGTGCTCAGCTCCTTCAAGCAAACCACGAACCACCACCCCCGAGGCCCGGGCATCGCACATCTTCCAATACGTCTGCCGATGGCCCACGTATTTGCCCTCACAGGAAATCCACAGTCTACGGGGTTTAGGGTCTAGGGTACGACTGCGAAGTACGGAAGATTTTTCGGTCTGGGCTTCCCTAAACCCTCAACCCCTTAACCCCCTTAAACCCGTCAAACCCCTTAAAGCCCTAAACCCCTAAACCCCAGGCCAAGCAAGAAAAGGCTCTCCCGGACTTGCGTCAGGGAGTTTCAAGGGTGGGGGAGTAAGAACGGCGGTTTAGGATTTAGGGTTTGGGGAAGCTTCAAGCATAATCTCACAATGGACCATGGACCTAGGGATTTGGAGTTTACTGGCTTTGGAAAGTTTGGCGAGTTCAAGGCTAAACGTGTCAGGGTGCATCTCCATCGTCAAACGGGGAGAGGTCTCTACATGGGACCGGATGCACAACGAAAAGAGTGGCTACGGAAGTCGAAAGTTTCTTGTAGAAGCACCCGTGCACTCAAGCCAGCTCAAGAAGCTGCAACTTCTGATGGAGAGCGAACCGAGAACTGTCCCACGTCAGACCGAGTTACAGCATTGAGATCAGCGGGCACCCCTGTGAACTACAGTGCATGCGGTAGCACACGTATGCAAAGAACCGTGGTCCAACGAATCGACTGCGAAATTGGTTCGCCCGTGCGGCAAGAGTGAAGCAGGTTGTTGTTCCATATCCCTTTGGCGCGGCTGGCTGCGCTTTGGACCAGCGCATCCCAGTCGTTTAGGTTGGCGCTTTCCCGCCTGGCGAGTTGGAGGTGGGCACAGTTTTTGGGCTTCAACGTTGGTCTGCGTAGGAGCCTGCTCTTCCATTGAGCTTGTCGGTCATGTCGTTACAGATCCATGGGCAAACTCTACAATCGAAGGACTCCTGGGCTGATTGTAACATAAGGCCTTAGTAGTTTGAAGAGGGTTTTGCATGCAACGATCATAAGGACCAAAAGGAGTTCCCGACCACGATAAAACGGACCAGTGCTTGTGGGTTGCTGTTGGTTTGGTCGCAGGGCATGCTTCCTGGGCTGGGAACAGCCCTGGCCCTTTTCCCTTTCATCTGCTGCTGATTTTTCGTGGCTTCCGAATTCGTCGGTGCGTCCGCCTTTCCAGGGCTATGTGCTGCTCCTCTCGCGCCCATCCCTGTACTCCGCAATCGAGAGTATGGGGGGGGGATCATGTCCTGTTGGTCTGGCTGCTCTTCGGGCCACTCAGTTTGGTTGGCTCTTCCTTCCAGCATACTGGCGGGACTTTACATTTACATCCCACGAATGATTGTGACAGCTGGCTGACTGCTGGTGCAGCAGCGCAGCAAGACCAAGTCAAAGCCATTGCATCTGAGCATGACACCGCCTTCTAGCATTGAAAAACAGACACAACCTGATCCCCTAAGCCCCCCTTACTCTCCGTCCTACATCCACAGGATAGTACAGGCTCACTTGCTTCCCAGGGAGCCCAATACCCCTTAAATAAGGAATATACCTTAAATTGTAGGGGGCCTTAATATTATGATTTAAGGTATATTCCCTATTATTAAGGGGTATTGGGCTCTCTGGGCTCTCTGGCTTAATGACCGACAGGATGCCCTCTTGAGCTCATAGACGCCGTTGAGCATGGGCGTCTGGAAGCCGTTGATAATGTACCTGTGGTGAATGAGGCTTTCGGGTGGTGACCGGGTGGTGGCTTATGGCAAACCCAGAGAGCCCAATACCCCTTAATTAAGGAATATACCATAAATCATAATATTAAGGCGCCTGTAATTTAAGGTATATTCCCTATTTAAGGGGGTATTGGGCTCTCTGGGAACACCTCAAGCCAAAACGCAATATGTGTATTCCGACCCCTACGGAGGCCCACCTGTGGCCCAAAGACCGACCTTTTCAAGGAACTCGATTACGTAGAAGCCATAATAAAGAACCCCAAAAGGGTAGCTCTTTCGGCTACAAGTAGACCCTAAACCGAAAAAACCGACCCCAGACCCTAAACCCAAATCCTCAAACCCCTAAACCCCTAAACCCTAAACCCTCAAGAAAGAGAGAGTTAGAAATTGCTTGTTGCTGTTGGCCATCCGAAAGCTCATTTTCTCGGCCGGGACACAACCTTTCTGTTAGTGTTACTGGCTTATGATTATTGTCCTTCTGTTTGTTATGGGAGGAAGTATTTCAGCCTTCATCGTATATCTATCTATGACGCTATTCTTGTGTTCCCTTATTTATTTATTTGGTTCTTGCTGTGTTCATGCATGTATTTCGATCGTTCTTCGCGTGTTCTTTATGTCTGTATTTCTTTCCTTATTTACTTGTTATATTTGTATTTACTTGTTCATCCAACTATGTGTTTCAGGGTGCATGTGTTATTTCGTGAGTTTATTTGTTGATTTCATCTATCCGTCTATCTATCTGTCCATCCAATCTATCCAATCTATCCATCTATCTGTTTATCGATTTAGTTGAACTGTTCCTTGATTCATTTACTCCACAATATTTCCTTCCTGTTTCAGCGGTCTCCAGCCAGTGGTAGGGATAACAGGTTTAATTTGGGAAACAACTCCGGTGCGTGGAGGGATAGCGACCAGGATCGCCCACATGTTCAGGACACAGGCCGTGGGGATTTTCTGTCTAGGGCCTAGGGTCTGCGGCACCAGTGGACACCTTACCCCTGTGACTGGGATCTGCCTCCTCACCCGCCCCTTTTTGCAGCAGGCCCGTGCCGCTTTCACCGGTAAGCTGTTGCAGTCAAAGCTCCAGTATCTAAGATCTAAGAGGGCCCGCACAGCCAGTGCCCAAAAATGTGCCAGACAGCAAGATGAGGTATCGTGTGTTATTGAGGTCATCAGCGCGGCTAGGAGGGCTCCGTTATGACACAGCGGCAGAACTGTGGAGGAAAGTGGCGCGCTGTGAAGGGGTTTGGACCCAGAGAGTCCAAAACCCCTTAAATAAGGAATGTACCTTAAATCATAATATTAAGCCCCTCATAATTTAAGGGTCTATTCCTTATTTAAGGGGTATTGGGCTCTCTGGGGAAGGCGTCATAACTGGGGGGTTCCGAAAATAGGGGACCCTAATATAGCACTCTAAATAGTAGGGATCCTTATTATAAGGACTCCCAAAATAAGGCACACCCCTTCTTTTCGGAATCTCCCAACTGGGCCCCTAAACCCTAAACCCTAAAAGGGGATTATGATTTAAGGGTATATTCCTTATTTAAGGGGGTATGGGGCTCTCTGGGTACCCCTAAACCCTAAACCCTAAACCCTAAAAGGGGATTATGATTTACTGGGTACCCCTAAACCCTAAACCCTTAAAGGGGATGGGAAGGCGTCCTAACTGGGCCCCGCCTGACGCAGGACACTTCCTGGGAAGCGGGCGCCGGCGCCGGCTTGGTCAGCCCCGGCTCCTCGGCCGAAGAGGCATACTGATTTTCACCTTATAACCCTATATATCATAAATAAAGAAGGCCACGCTCGGAGCTCGGGAGGTGAGGCTTTCAGTCGGATCGGGCACTTGTTGGCCCGCCGATCGTGAGGCTTTCTGCGATTCGTTCAAAGGGCTCCTCTTTATAAAAGGGATCCTGAATCCTACCTACCTTCTTCCCACCTGTGAAAGCCTCCGACTTCGATGGACAAGAACGGGAGAGTTCCGAGTGCAGCGTCTTACCTAGCGGCCTAAGCACTGTATTGGACTACATTTGCTGTTGTAGGCTCGCAAGGGTGACTTGCTCGTTTGGACCGGAGGCAAGACCAATAACTTGTAATGTCTTCATCGCTCTTAGAAACACCAGCAACATAATGTGTTTAATACTGTACGATACTCTGCTCTGCTATACTGCACTACACTATTACCATTTACTATAAACTATACACTATATGCTGAAAATATTATAGTCCATATGATATACTATGATAAATTCCGCCAGGGCCGAGGGCTTTCGGCCCGAGGCGTGACATGGAGGTTTCGAGACCCACCCTCGCCTCAATCCTTCCGAAGCCAACGAGACATCCCACGGTTTAGGGTTGAGGGCTTAGGGTTGAGGGGTTTAGGGGTTTAGGGTTTAGGGATCCGGGTTTCAGCACTCACACTGGGAAGAAGCCTGGCGAGTTCTGTCTGGTACGTCGGAAGGCACTTTGGCCAACTACTTTAGGTAGTATATTACAGAATATTATGGTAGAGTAAAGTATATTATGTTATAGTATATTATATTGTATTATGTTATAGTATATTAAGGCTTTTTCATGTGGGGCCCTGGCCTCCTCAAGATTCAGAACCTCCGCCGCCTCCGCCGCTGGAACGGTTGGGGCTTTTGTTGGATATCGCAGGGCGTTCTTCGCTGATTTAGGGGCAAGGGACAGCTTTCATGATTGGCATAATGGACCACGGCCAGCGATATTACACCTGGATTTCTCATCGCAACGATTCCAAAATCTTGAGTGTTGAAACACACGGAACAATGCCAGTCAGAATGTCGACATGATCAGACCAGTGTCATCGTTGCCAGATCATCGTTGTGTCGCCATTAACCTTCATTAACCTCAACACTTTTCCCATATCTATCAGCTTCTTCTACGGCATCCAAACCAGCCTTCTGCATGCCACAGGCAGGCGCCCGAAACGCAAACTTACTTCAGGTAACCATCGATCCAAACTTCAGGGTTTAGGGCTGGACACTAAACAGCCTTACCAGCAAGACTCCAGCAAGACAGAGATAGCAAATCCGGAACATACTTGCAAACTTTGACGCGCCAAAACCGCGCTTTCAACTTGAGCCCGAAAATTCATTCCCACCGACCCCAATCGCTGCTGCCTCCCCAACCCTAAACCTCATTTCCTCAAGGAAAGTCAAACGCAGCCCATCCTCACACCACCCTTGACGACGTACCGGAGGTATACTATTCATCAACTTCTCTCACAGGGCCTCGTCAAGAGTCGCGGTCGCGGTCGTCTTGGTTTCTGGGAGCTCGTCTTCAGGGTCCTCTTTGTGGTGCTCCTCTTTTTGGGACTCCTCTGTCTCCGCCTTACCCGCTTGCGGCACTTCCTGATGGGTCTCCTCCTTCGGAAGCTGATCCTCTTGGGGCATCTCCTGCGCAGTGGGTTCGTGCTCCTCTTTCTGGGGCTTCTCTTCTGCAGGCTCTTCCGGTGGAGGCTTTCCCCTCTCAGGCTCCTCCTCTTGTTCCTCTGGCTCGGGCTTTCCCTTCTCAGGTTCTTCTGCCTTCTCAGCCCCCTTGTCCTCTTGCACAAGTTGATCCAATTGCATCACTTTCTCCTCATTTGTCGGTTCCTTTGACAACCTGAGCTGCTGGCAAACAACTCACTATCACTACTATCACTTCCAGCACAGGTACCATCACTTAAGAAGGAAACAGTAAATAATCCGTAGTGCAGTCGTCATCAGCCTCAGCTCAACAAACTTGCCCTCATCACCGTCGTCATCGCACGGAAATGACCGATAGCACATGACCATGGTCCCAGTTGCCGTCGTCGTCGTCATTACTACCATCCTAAGCAACGCCATCACCATGAGCACACACACCACCGTGACCACGAAAGTTGCCATCACGAGGCACTGTCACAACGCGTCAAACAATCGGGCACCATCGTACAGAAAATGGGAGCTGGAGCTGTGACGGGCGCTTCTCCTGGCACCCCTCCGATAGCCCCTGCTGCTGACTACTGACGTTGTGGCTCTCACTGTCACTGTCTGTGCCATTGTCAAGATTTGCCGCTGTCACTATGCCTGCATGTTGCCACTGCCGTGGTGCAACTATCGTGGCACGCACAGGCAACAGAACGGTTTGCTAACTTGACCGATCGGAGCTGCAAAGGCTGCTGGTGCTGTGTGGGTGTTACTTGTGCGCGGATAGTATCCCCCATCGGTGTCAATACCCAAACACTGCTTGCTCCGCTTGCCTCTGCTTGCCAAGGCTGTGATTAATCGGGTTTAGGGCTGGGGGCTTTAGGGCTCAAGGTTTAGGGCTTAGGGCTCTAGGGTTTAGGGCTCAGGGCTTGGGGCTTCAAGGTTTAATCAAGGCCCTAAACAAGTATGGAGGCTGCAGGCTTAGGATAACTAGCAGCTAGCAGTCGAGGATGTTTTAACATCGGGAGGATATTGTTTGGGAAATATCTGCTACAGCCGGAGCGGCTGCGCGATGGACGGTCGGGATGCGCCGAAAACCTCCCTAATATAAAAAACCGCAAATCCGTGTTCATATTCGGGGGGAGGGGGGGGAGGGGAATTTTTTTTAAATTTGACCCTAAACCCTAAACCCTAATCAAATCCCTAAACCCCTAAACCCATGTAGGCCAACCTGCACCCAAACCTCAGCTGCAGAAAAGGCGACTCTGTGGCCAAGTCATCGCCGGGGGCTGGAAGTGCAGGGAATCTGTCCTTAGTTGCTGACTTCATAAACCCCAAAATTCACCCAAAATCGTAAAAACTCCGTTCTAAAGCCGATTTCTTTCTCCCCAAAACTGGAAAAATCAGTTCTAAAGCCGATTTCATTCTCCCAAGATAGTGCCAAAGTGTACTCACTCAGCTACTAGTGCTACAACGTGTCTTCGCCAAAGAGGTCCTCCTCGGTTTGCGCCAAGAGGTCTTCCCGGGTCTGCTGCCTCAGCTAAGGGCGGAAAATGAGGGTTCAGAGTTTAGGATTTAGGTTCCTTTACGGGGTCCCTGTTGGGCTCCTTTAAGGGTTCCTCTTCAAACTTCCTTTAAAGTGAAGGTTTCAAAGAGGTTTAGGGCTTTTAAGGGCTTAGGATTTAAAGCTTTGGTGTTTTATGGTTTAGGCTTTCAGGGCTTTGGGGCTTCAGGTTTAGGGATTATGCTGGAGGGCAGTTGGCCTCATCTTCTTTCAGATTGGGGCGATAGCAGGCGAACAGAAATTCCCTTCTTTGTTGAGCCGTTAATTGCAAGCTCAAAGCCCTCGTGCTTCCATTTTCGAAAACCGAAACCAGCCCAGCCATCAACCGGCGGCATGGCATGAATCCGGGGCATTGTTTTCTGTTCCGGGAGCATCTTTCCGGATCTCGTTCCTTGGTTCGTGGCGGCCTCCAATACTTCTATATCTGCCGGGCTGACATCTATTCAATCTACTCCTACCAGGGCTGTCTGCTGACTCCAGTGCTCTTTTTTATGACCTAACTTCTCCCCGTCTGTATCTCCCCGATTCTTCGCTCAAGCCGCAAGAAGACCTCCAAGCCACGACCTAGGGTTAGTAGCAACCACGGTAACACCACCAATTGAACACCATGCGTTAAGTCGCGCCCCTGAAGGTGCCAGGAAGACTTCTAGTGTGCGATAGGGGGAAGAAGCGAAACCAAAAACGAGGATTGGTGGATGTCGCACTCACACTAAACAATACAGACATCCAATAGCGAAAGCAGGTAGTGGTAAGCAAGGACAGCTCTAGCCGGAACAGCAGTTTGGTGAGCAAAACCCCAAAGCATACCCCTCAACCCTAAACCCTCGAAAGAAGCAAAACACAAAACCCCAAACCCTGAACCCTTTGCAACTGACCTGCTGCGACTCTAACCCTAAACCCCTAAACCCCTAAACCCCTACACCCCTAAACCCCTAAACCCCTAAACCCCTAAACCCCTAAACTGCTAAACCCTACACCCCTAAACCCCTAAACTCCAAACCCTACACCCCTAAACCCTAAACCCCTAAACCCTATGGCAACCCAGCTTCAGCGCTTCCAGGCGCTCTGCCCTGGCCAAGGCACCACAGTTGACCCCGGGATCAGGGCTTTGGAGGAAGATTTGGGGTGTAGGGCTAGGGTTTGGGGTTGAGGGTTTGGGGTTTAGGGTAAAGGCTTTAGGTTTTTTTTTGGTTTGGGGTTTGGGG